GTCTATCTCATATATTAGTTTCACCTTTTAAGTTGAATTACTGAAATAAATGAACTTTCCCACAATATTCTAATTTTCCGAGTTTCACCTGTATATATGGTCATAGAAATGGTGGTGAGGGTTTGGGGGAATTTTGCCAGGAGGAGGAACATTTTTCCAGTATTATTATTATTATTATTATTATTATTAATGGGGCACTAGCAATGGCAGCTGTACAACTCTTCTCTCCCCCCTTCCCCCCATCCCGATTATGCTGTTGCAAGTGGAAACATCAGCAACTGTGTTAGGAGCAAGGCCACCATTTTGCAATGCTTTGGACCTAGCATCAAGTTTAGGGGGGGGGGGATGGTGGCTAACACAAAAGAGGTGGAGAATATTTGGAGAAATTTTGTCAAAGTAGCCTTTTGTCAGCGTGGTGGCAAAAATCTCTGACACTTCCTCAGAAAAGTGTCTTCTGGTAAATTTTGGCTTAGCTCCGGAATGAATCCCTCTACCTTGCACTAACCATGTATCCAATGGGCTCACATGCTGTTATTCATTTCCTAACCCTTTAATTCAAAGTTATCCTTTCTTCTTCTTGATACAGTAGTCTGTAGGATCATATCAAACGTGTGTGTGTGTGTGTGTGTGTGTGTGTGTAACACAGAGTCCAAAAAGGAAAAGGAGATGCAAATGAAACTGAAGCCACAGCCAATACTGAATTCCACAATCCATTTTAGAAGTTCTCTGGAATTCAGTAGCAGTAGAACACAGAACCAAGTGAACAATAAAGGAGTGGAACCTGGAAAATCCTCTCATTGCTATTTCACCCGCTTCTCTTTATGATACTGTTGATTTTCACTTTATGAGAAAATGATGTATCAGATATACAATGTGTACTTCTGCCCTGCTGAAGATGTGATTTGTGTACTGCCTAGAGCTGTTGTCATCTAACTGAAAGTAGTGAAAAATATATAAATCTGTTGCTGAGCTGGTAAAGGCGTAGGTGCTACAACTTTTAAAAACTGTAACAGATATTTTTGTTGCAAGTAGCTGCTGCTGTTTGGTCGTTTCTGAGTGTGCTTTGGGGTGTGTGTGACAATAAACCAATATGGTTCTTCTGTTTCTTTTTCTCTTTCTGACTATTTTGGCTAACAGGAAAAGCTGATTTGTATGCTTCCCATAAATTACAGGATTATATTCAGCAAAGAAGGACACAAAAACAAAGTGCCTCATTGTTAATCACCCCCCCACCTTGTTCAAAATAGTTTTCATGGAATATGTCATACTTCCCCGCTTATCTGTACTATTTATAATTGTTGTTTCCCTCCCATTAAACTAACCAAGTGACAGAGTTATGTGGAAGGAGGCATTTAATTTCAAAAGGGTCCATATGGGGCACAGTGCATAATTTGGATACATTGCAAACATTTTGTGTACATGGGACCAGGGTACCCAGTGCAGGGCAGGTTTTGCTGCCACATCAATGGTGTCTCCAAAAGCATCATCATTCATAGATAAGGAAGAAAGTAAACAGTAGGAATTTAGGATCACTGCAAGGCATAGGATGTCAGATCTGGGCTATGGGCAGCAGACAGCACACAGGAACTATGGAACAGCCTGTAGTCAGTGTCATTGAATCTTACTCAATATTGATTCAGAGCAGAACTCCAATGTATAGTTAGCAGAGTGAAAACTTAAACACGTTGCAGGATTCCTCCCCAAAATAGAGCAGAGACAATTATATTTCACCCAGCAGAGCTTTACTGCTACTGAAGGCAAATGAGCATAATGGTCACAAATCCAATACATTCAGGACTGAAACTGTCCATAAGGAATCCGGTTGCAGCAGACAACGTAAACTTACAATAACTTATAATAAATCTGAACCTTAACATTGAGCATACTATGTACAGTGGTACCTCTGCTTATGAACTTAATTCGTTCCGGAGGTCCCTTCCTAACCTGAAACTGTTCTTAACTAGAGGCGTGCTTTTGCTAATGGGGCCTCTTGCTGCCGCTGTGCCACCGGCACACGATTTCTGTTCTCATCCTGGGGCAAAGTTCTCAACTCGAGGTAACTCTTCCAGGTTAGCGGAGTTTGTAACCTGAAGCGTTTGTAACCTGAGGCGTTTGTAACTCGAGGTACCACTGTACAGAACACCACACTAGAAGGAAAAGAGAAAGAGAAAATGAAACTCAGGCTCCTTCTGGCCTATTATTTTAGTCAGCATGACCTTGACAGAAGAGATAAGAGAACCAGTTTAAACTCAGCTTCTCTGAAGGTATTACCCAAACATCAAGAACCTTCTGCTTGTTTCTTTCACACAGAGAAGCTTCCAGAACCCTCTTGAATTAAGTAGAATAGGAAAGACCTCTACCCATCAGATCAATACTTTCTGCACTAAGAAATGCAAACTGACAGTCAAGACAGCAGAGTAAGTCAGAACCAAAGGAGCAAAAGACAGAAAACCATGATTAAGGAGTAAACCATAAATGAGAACTAAGCAACAAACCAAAGAAGCAAAGCTGAGCTGAGCTTTTGCTTGAGTAAGACTTAACTGAAACAGGAGGATTCCATAGGCCACTTGAGTAGGTAGGCTCAATTCTGTCCCTGAGTATATTAAACTTAGCCCATGACTTAGCCAGTGTGGTGCCCCACACAGATGTTGCGGACTGCAATTCTCATTGTCCCTGACTGACACGACCCAGAACCAGGAGTGATGGGAATTGTTGTCCAAAACATCTGGATAGCACTGCATTGAACTTCCCCGTAGCCTGGGCAAATGCTGCAACATGCATTTTGATGGCTTACTACATGGGAAGCTGCACACAATTCAAGCCTCAGCAGCTCCTGAGATAAGCTGGTTCTTCTCTCTGCCCTTGAAGACCCCAGCTGTACCGATTTAACCATGTAGCAAGACTGGAAGGACAACTGTTCAACCCAGCAGTGCCTTATTTATCTTGCAGCCAGTCAAATATTAGAAGGGAAAGACATGCTAAAAATATGGCTTCTTTTTCTACATCTTTGAGGAACAACAGAAGGGTTATTTTTCCCCCTCCTGGAGTCTCACTAATCCACTCCTTCTATAAATATTCAATATTCTCATTGTTGTCAGTAACGTATTGATAGCGCCGAACTTGACGTTTGCTCAGTTCTTTTCTTTCCCCGTTCTTTCATTCTACCACTTCTCATTAAGCAGCCTTTGAATGCCTCTCTCGGAGTTTCCTTTCAGCAAATAGGGTGACACGTCGTGGAACTTCCTTGGCATTCTAATCAATGAGATGCAGAGTATTTGAGCAGCCACAAAGCAAATCTACTTTAAAATGAGACTTATTGTTCACCTCTTCATTCTTACTTGTTGAACTATGTGGGCCTTATCGCATTAGAAGTGCGTAGCCTCAGCGAAGGGTAATTGCATCATCAGTCTCTGTTGGTCTGTGTCTCAGGTCTCTTAACACAATTGTCCTTTCCATTACTTCCTGATTTCATTTAATATTCTCCTAGGTTAGAATCGTAGCTGAAGTTGCAGCGGTCTTACGGAATTGTCATGGTGTGCTCCTTTGTAGAAATGCTTTTCCTGTGGATTAAAGGGCATTGATATATTGGTTTAAGTAGGGGTAGATTATTATTTTTCTGTTTACATTATATGCCTAAATGGGATGCTGAATTTGCTGAAGAACTGTGCATGCACACAAAAGCTTATACCAAGAACAAACTTAGCTGGTCTCTAAGGTGTTCCTGGACAATATTTTTATTTTTAAAATATATTTTGACTGTGTTAGTCCAACACGGCTACCTACCTGAATCTTGCTATTTAGAGTAAGTCTTTGAAACATGACCTGCTCAACACAACCCATCCTTGTAATAGGCTTACATATTTCTTTAATCATGTCACAGAGATGGCCTGTGTTACTGTTATCAGCACTTGGCTTCATAAAGACATTGTTGTTAGTTTGAATCAAGGGTCAGCAAGACGTTGCTCAGGTATAGAGGCATTGCAGACTCATGTTTTGGTTACTGATGTTTCACATAAGAGTTTCTGGCTGCTCGTAAACCCTTCAACCCAGTATGCCAGTGACTGACATTCAGCAATCTCTGGAAAACAGGGCTGGCTAACATGGGGAACTCCAGATGAACTACAACTCCCATAATCCCAGTCCATGCAGCATCTTATCACAACATCTTCTTCTTCTTTCTTTGGCAATCACTTGTAGCCAAGTAAGAATGTCTTCCAAGAACACAGTTTTAAAAGTGAGTCTGTAAGTGGCTGTGGAGGCCAGTTCTGGATCCACACGTCCTTCCACAGTAGGGACATAGGTTTCTGGGCAGGAGTTGATCATGGTGAAGGTTTGCCAAGTGTGCCTTCCTCTTAGCACGTTTCTTCCTTTCATCCTGAGTTTGAGCTTCTTCAAAGTCCTGTTCTCCAATTGGAGTGCTCACAGACCAGTGTTTCCCAGTTGTCGGTGTATATACTTATTATTATTATCATTTGCCCTGAAAGAGTCTTTAAACTTATTTTGTTGATCACCAGTATTACACTTTCCATTTTTAAGTTCAGAATAGAGTTGCTGCTTCAGAAGACGATAATCGGGCATCTGCACAACATGACCAGTCCAATGAAGTTGATGTTGAAGAATCATTACTTGGACTGGTGATCTTTGCTTCTTCCAGTACACTGGCATTAATTTGCCTGTCTTCCCAAGTGATGTGTAATTTTTTTTGGATACACCATTGATTGAATTTTCTGAGGAGTTGGAGCGGTCCATGTTTCACAAGCATACAGTAAGGTTGGTAGTACAATAGCTTTGTAAACAAGCATTTTGGTTTCCCTGTGAATGTCCCAGTCCTCAAACACTCTACACTTCAATCAGGAGAAAGCTGCACTCACAGAGCTCAGGCGATGTTGGATTTTGGCATCAATGTTGACCCTTGGTAAAAAGATAACTGCCTAGGTAGGAGTTGGATGGGACCCTGAGGATCATCTAGTCTAACCCCCTGCAATGCTGAATTATGCAGCTGTCCCTTACGAGGATTGAACCTGCAACCTTGATTTTATCAGCAACACGCTCTAACCAACTGAGCTATCACAGGTTAATTGCCCTTGTTATAAAGGCATGAAGTACAGACAGCATCAGTGCCATTTTTGTATAGGCATTCAACTATTTATTTCTCTTAATAACATACATACATTTGGATATTTGGTGATTATTAAAAAAAATATACGAATTAGCTTCAGGCGTATCTTATGAAACAATTCAAATCTGCTTCCTGGATATTATTTGAATTAATGAGACACTAATGACAACCATGAATTAAAAATCTGTAGTTGACCTGCTTCAGAGAATCCAATACTGACGTACTTCTCCATGAATTCATGAAAAAGCACTATTTATAAGTCACATTTGTGATTCTCCAGAAAGGAAGAGGAACTAAGGCTATATGTATGAAATGATTGCCACAGTTCTAAGCAACCTGTCAAAACCATCAGGCAAAGGCTAAGCACAACACACCACCCACATAAGATGGAATGCTAGGGTTCAATGAAATCATGTTCACACTGGCTTATTTGAAGGAGCATTCAGTCGTAAGATCTCAGTGGCAGTTTAAAATGGTGTGGTCAGGAACAGTTTTGCCATGTGATCTGTTCTTTGTGTATGCTATCTGTAAGTAGAGATGTGCAGAACCTATGTCTGTATTTTCTCATAAAAAAGGTAAAGGGACCCCTGACCTTTAGGTCCAGTTGCGGACAACTCTGGGATTGCGGTGCTCATCTCGCTTTACTGGTCGAGGGAGCCGGCGTACAGCTTCCGGATCATGTGGCCAGCATGACTAAGCCGCTTCTGGTGAACCAGAGCAGCACATGGAAACGGCGTCTACCTTCCCACCGGAGCAGTACCTATTTATCTACTTGCACTTTGATGTGCTTTTGAACTGCTAGGTGGGCAGGAGCTGGGACTGAGCAACGGGAGCTCACCCCGTCATGGGGATTTCAACCGCTGACCTTCTGATCGGCAAGCCCTAGGCTCTGTGGTTTAGACCACAGTGCCACCTGTGTCCCCCTTATTTTCTCTTAAGTCTCATTTTTACATGCTGCTTGAGAATCTGTGTGTGTGTGTGTGTGTGTGTGTGTGTGTGTAACCCGCAGAAGAGGGGTCACAATAATCACCAAAGTAGTATTGTGAGACCTGTTCTCAGCTGGAAATGGTTCTGAATATAGAGAAAATTCCTACCCCTGCATTTAGAGAGATACCCTATGAATGAAATGGTTTCCCCAGCCATTAGCAATTAATCTTGTTTCTTGGTAAGGATTTTTTTTTTTTTGCACATTTTCATAATTATTTTCAGCACTTGCCTCATTTTCATAAGACTTTGTGTAGCCAGTCAGTAATAGCAATCCAACCCCAACCCCACAGTAAATTGAAATATAAGGAGAATTTAAGATAATTGTCTGGAGCAACAAAATGTCAGTATCTGCATTCTAAATCAAACCTGTTACACATTAATATGATGATTGCAAATGCCATTTTTAACAATAATAAGTCAGCTTAAAACAATTCCGCAGAATTGCTAAGCATCAAATGTATGTTGCCTTCTTTTATAATGGAGAGGTGCACTGTGATTGTATGCCAAATTTCTAAATGGTAGGGCAGGTGGTAGTTTGTGATACACACACACATACACACACACACACACCAATCCTTGAGAACATTAGCTGCATTCAAAGCAGTAGGCCTCTGAACAATAAATATTAAAACTAAAACAAATATGAGGTCAACAATTCATACAGGAAAGTGTTAGCACGTCTGCCATGCAGAATATCCCATTCTGTTCCACCTTCTTATATTCTAATTATCCTACTTCAGAGATTGGCAATAAGTTGCTATCTATTCATCGCACATACCAGGGGGGCTGTAAGAATCTCATTTTCTGTGTACAGACAAATAAATCAAATAAACCACCTAACCTGAAGAAGTAAGTTTCCTTTTATTATTATTATTCCCTTCCCAGAGCAGAATTGCACTAAATAAATCATGGATTCACTGCAGGTGTGAAATCCATTGGTTTCTGCCTATTCTTGTTTGTACACTCTCTAATTCCCCCAAGTTATTAATAATAATTTGTTAACAAAAGTACTGTTGTGTGTATAGGGAAAGCAAACCGCAAACTGTAATTTTTATTCTCTCCCACCCCCCATTGAATAAATAGCACTGTTGTTAGTTTACACAACATTAGGGATGACTGATTGCACTGGGTTGTTGGCAAGCACATATACAAAGGAAACGTCCAGTGAAACATAATAAGACCCATTCAATTAAACAAAAAGGCCACAAATGTGTGGTTCCTTGAACAGCATGGAATAAAACCTTTGCTAACAAAACTTCTCAAGATATTGAAGCTACCAGAAGAAGAAGGGGTGCAAAGAAGCAAGTTGTGTTTGCCAGAGTAGTCAGCAATATTAATTTAAATTGATATTATATGGACAACAGGGTCTGTAGCATTCCTTACCCCAGAAATATGGTAACACATACCTGTAGCACCTGGAACCAGCATATCCCTAACTCCTCAGTTAGGAAAATCACCCCTGAATTTAGAAATATTTTGGACTTTAGGAGGTGCACTCTCTTGGGTCTGTAGCCATTGAATTGCCATCCTGTTTGTTCGTTTGTACAGGATGTTGGCTTCAGTCTGACATAATTGCGTCTGTCCTGAATTCTCAAAGTGGACAATAGCTTTAATATCCCAAATCTTCCTTTGCACATAATTCAAGACATAACTATCCTGGGGTTCTTCGTTTGAGACAGCTGTATTGCATATCTGAAAAATACTGATGTGTGATTTAAACCCAGTCATTGTAGTACGGTTCCTGCTTCCTCATGGCAGGAACTGGTGTTAGATGAGGTGGACACAACCCATGTCATTTCCAGCAGGCCAGACCTAAAAAACCATCCTGTTTCTTTTGAGCAGATGTAAAACCATCCCAGCAGGAGCATGCTGATCTTGCAAAGAGTGGCTAAGAAAATGCATTACTGCTCTTAGCTCTCTGGGAAAGGCTAGATAGAAATTGGTGCTTCTGGGCTTGTTGTCAGAGAAGAAGCGTTCCACAACTTCACTGTGCAGTGCAAACACAGAGAAAGGGTTTGAGGATTGGGTTTGAATGGGTTTGAGGATGTTGGTTCATAGAAGGTGGATTTGTTGGGTGTTATCTTGCTGTAAGGGATGCAGGTGGCGCTGTGGGTTAAACCACAGAGCCTAGGATTTGCTGATCAGAAGGTCGGCGGTTCGAATCACTGCGACGGGGTGAGCTCCCATTGCTCGGTCCCTGCTCCTGCCAACCTAGCAGTTCTAAAGCACGTCAAAGTGCAAGTAGATAAATAGGTCCCGCTCCGGTGGGAAGGTAAACGGCATTTCCGTGCGCTGCTCTGGTTCGCCAGAAGCGGCTTAGTCATGCTGGCCACATGACCCGGTAGCTGTACGCCGGCTCCCTCGGCCAATAAAGCGAGATGAGCGTCGCAACCCCAGAGTCGGCCACGACTGGACCTAATGGTCAGGGGTCCCTTTACTCTTTACCTTTATCTTGGAGTAAAGCATGCATAAGGTTCCAATTAAAGATGAAACAGAAAGCAGATCTGCACAATATATTTAAAGCGTATTCAACACAATTTAAAGGACATGATTTACCACAACGAATCATGGGAACTGTAGTTTTCCCCTCCCAGAGCTACCTAGGGTTGCCATGCGTCCCGAATTCCCCAGACACATCCAGAATACTGTGGCCGCAAGCAGTGTCTGGGTGGAAATCGGTTAGTTGGCCGCTAAAATCCGGACGTATGGCAGCTGACCTATGGCAATGTTGCTTTTGCCAATTTCCCTCAGAAATAGCTCAAAAACATCCAATTTCTTTGCTCAACAACTTTGGGCAAAACTGAAAAAACTCAACAACTCTGCAACCCCCCCCCCCAAGCTACTTATCAGGATTCTTGGGAGCAAGCCATGTGATTTAAATGTGTGTTGAAAGTGCTTTAAATGTATGGTGAAGATATGCCCAGAGATAGAGCTGTCACTTTTCAGTTAAACATTTCAATTTCCTCCTTCCTCAGTAGCAAAGATGGAATTTTGAATGAAAACTATAAGCCAAGGTAACAGTTTTAAGAACCATCATGGAATGAAGTAATTATATGGCATTTGTAGAATGTTGGTTTTCCTCAAAACAAAACAAAACACAAAAGAAAAAGAAAGACTAGATGGAAATTATGTGTTGTGTCCATGGAGACACCAAAGAAAAGTGAACATTGGCATCTGTCAGAACGACTTTAGTCCTGAAAAACTACAATACTGTCCAGGAAAAGAACCTTGATTTTGATTATCATTCAAAAATTGAACTATAATGGGTTGAATCCAGACTTAGTAGAATCACTGGAATCAATATTTGAAATCATTTTCACATGTGTAGCTTCCACCCAGCTATCAGCATGTAATGAAAGAAAGTTTTTACTTGCCTTCTTTAACAGAAATCTGGCTAAATTTGCTGGGAGGTAAAATATGAATATTTGATCCACACAATTGGTGTTAATCTGCCTCTATTTACTGGGCATTTATGAGAAGAGATAATTAAAATTGTGTCCTAGAGCACTATGAAGCTAATCAACCCAAGGTGATAGAGACTCATTCCATGGGAGCAGCTGAAAGCTGATTCAGCTGGGCAGGAACTCATCGCTCTTGCTGCTGCTGGGAATGTACAAATTGGTTGAGACATTGCTATGTCACAATGTTCCAACATGGAATGTTCCAACCCCAGTTATGTGATGGAGTTCAGTGGGGTGAAGTGTCAGCAGCTGCCTCCATTGGTTACAAGCTTATTTTGGTAGAAGAATGCATGTTAACAGATCTGGTTTTATCTACTTGGATGTGCATTTATACTGTAAATATGAGATTGAATCAGAAAAGTGCTGGAGATGCAATGAGGTTGATGGTACATTCTTTCATATGTGGTGGACCTGTAAAAGGGTAAAAGAGTTTTGAGAAATAATTTATAATGAATTGGGGGGGAAATGTTTAAAAGCACCTTCCTCAAAAAAACCCAGAGTCCT